GGGCACGGTCACTGCCCTGCTCCTGCTGGCCACACCACTCCTGATACAAGCCAGGATGCCGCTGGCCCTCTTGGCCACCTGGGCACCCTGCTGGCTCATATTCAGCCCCCTCTTGACCAACACCCCCAGGTCCTTTTCTGCTGGGCAGCTTTCCAGCCCCTCTGCCCCATGCCCGTAGCATTGTTTGGGGTTCTGGTGACCCCAGGGCAGGGCCCAGCCCTTGGCCTTGTTGATCCTCACCCAACTGGACTGGGCCCATGGATCCAACCTGGCCAGGTCCCCCTGCAGAGCCCCCCTCCCTTCCAGCAGATCCACACTCCTGCCCAAACTGGTGTCATCTGCCTGAGGGTATGCTTGATCCCCTTGACCAGATCATTCATAACAACGTTAAACAGAAGTGGCCCCAGTGCTGAGCCCTGGGGGACACCTCTTGTGGCCGGCCACCAGATGGAATTTAACTCCCCGTTTTCCAGCTCGGCAGGCTGGGTACCCTTGAGAACAATTGGTCTTGCAATTAAAGACTGAGGCAAAGAAGGCATTAAGTACCTCAGCCTCCTCATCATCATTTGTCACTACATTTCCCCCCCGCATGCGGTAAAGGACAGAGATTCTCGTTAACCCTCCTTTTGTTGCGAATGTGTTTACGCGAGGAGCCAGGTTGTGGAGGAGAAGTGGGAAGATGGCAGTGACTGTGAGCTGCCCCAAGGGGAAGACCTCATCACCCACAAGATCCTTGGTCCCAAGGATCTTCCAGGACCCCCACACTGATACCCAGCAGGGGCCCGGCTGCCCCAGCAGCGTGGGCACAGAGGCAGCAGGGGAGGCAGCCGGTGATGTGCAGAGCACAGCTCCTGCCCCAGTGGGTCTCACGGATGCCAGTAACATATAGGTTAAATCCCTGAGATCCTCATGAATTTGTGATTCCCGTGAGGTCTGCAAAGGCCAGGGGAGACACCATTTAGCTCTGAAGTACAGCAGTTGTGATATAAAGGAAGAAATGGGGAGGAAATTGGCTTGAGAGCAGTAAGATTCCTGCAAGGAGGGAAATGCACAGACAGACAAAAGGAAAAGAGCGGACAGAAATACCAGGCAGCCTTTCCCTCTGCTCATCAGACAACACATTTGTTAAAACAAAGTGCTTATCACAATATTAAACTTTCCTCTAGACACAGTTGCACCAAGTGCCTCCCCTCATCCCAGGAGAAGCCTCCCTTCCAACCAACCTTTCGGAAATCGTATCCAAAGAAGCCTGCATTGCGGTTGAGAAAAGGAACCCCAAGTGTCTTCAGCTCATCTGTCACATGCGTATGGGCAGCTTTTAGGTGCGCATGGTTGGCCCTCAGGTACACCTGGTTGATCCAGTCTGACCAGAAGAAGAAGATAAAGAAAAAAAAAATCACAAACGGAGAAAGAGGCGCTGCTGGATGGGACTGGGGAGCGGGAACTTTTAACCAGGGTTAGAAGTCACCTGGCCTGAGCAGCAGTGCAGTTTTGGTAGCCAGCGTTACCCCTAGCCCCTGTGTCACCTCCTGCAGCTCGCGGCACTGCTGCAGAAATGCCTGCGCCAGCTGGACGGGGGGAGAGGCAGGAGCGGGTTTGGTATCTCCTGTGAAACTACAGGGATGCACCAGTTTTTCGGGCCTGCTGAAATGATTGTACGTGCCCAGGTTGGTGCCGGAGCCTGAGGGTTTCTGTCCACGCTCGCTAAATTGCTCGCAGGCAGTGAACAGCCTGGCAGGAGCAACGCAGCTCAGGCTGTGCTGGATCTGTGTGAGGGTGCGGAGCTGCTGCAGAACCTGGGTGTTCAAGCCTTAGGTGTAAACCCTGCATGGGAACAGAGAGGGGGGAAAAGGGTCTCCAGAGGCTGTAGTCATGATCCGTTTTCTTCCCAGGGGCTCCGGTTCTCTGTGCCAGAAAATGCTCCCTGAAACTCCTCCTCCTGAACGGTCTGTTGTGCGCTGTGCCTCCTGCTCCGTTTTGGATCTTTCTTCCAAAGACAGTTGGGTTTTGGTTTGGGTGGGTTTTCCCCTCTCTAGGATGTGAAATGCCTCTGTTTTGGAGGAAAGCAAGCAGGTCCCTCTGGATGGCATCCCTTCCTTCAAGCGTATCGACTGCACCACTCAGCTTGGTGTCATCTGCAGCCACGCTGAGGGTGCACTCCATGCCCCTATCTGTGCCATCGATGAAGACACTAAACTCCATCGGTCCCAGCAGGGACCCTTGAGGGACACCACTCCTTGCTGGTTTCCCGTTGGGCATTGGGACAGTGGCTCTTCCTCTTTCGTTAACCCTTTCCCTCCCCATGAGGAGCAGGGGAGGCTCTTGGGGGCCGGGTGGAACACAGGGAGCCCCCACATTCCTTCCTAGCAGACCCCCAAACAGAAGCAACCAGACCCGGCAACCCCACCGAGTCCTCAGCGTCCAAGGAACAGAACGGACCATGGCACTGCCAGACCTGCAGCTCCCACAGCAAAGCCCTCAGGCCCCCCTGGCACCCCGGCTGCTTCAGCCGTTCGTCCTGCCCAAAACCTTCTACCCCAGAAGCAGGGAGTGAGCCTGACCCCTGCAGCCTGGGGACGCTCCCTGGGGAAAGAGCAGAGGTGACCACTGGCCATGGCTCGTGTCTCTCTTTCAGGCTCAGCCGACCTCTGCCAACTGCCCGGGCAGGAGCAGCCCTTCCCCGCAGCCTGGACACCCCCAGCAGCAGTGGCACCGCTGGCACCCCGGGCACCCATGGCAGGTATGGCGCCCCTGACCGACCTGGTAAGCTGGATCCCCCATCCCCCCCATTCCCCTTGCACCCCCGGCACTCCCAGCACCCAGGCAACTTGGGCACCTTTGGCACCCCCAACCCCCCTGGCACCCTGGCACCACAGCCTCCCCAGCACCCCTGTACCCCTGGCAGTTTTGGCACGTGGGGTGAGAACCCTGTCTCCACGGAGTTTGAATGTTTGGACTTTGAGCACGCAAGACAAGCGCAAAGGCCCAGGGTTTGTGGGGCTTTTGGTAGGCTACGGTGGCATGGGGAAGCCCAGCCCCAGCTTTGGGATTTGTCCCCTTTGGTGTGGGAGGAATCGCCGGACGTTGGCAATTTTGAGCTGGCCTGGTAAGATTTTTGGTCATCAGCGAATTGGAACGTTTGGACTTTAAGAGCAGAAGAGAAGCGCAGCTCCCAGGTGGCTTTTTGATAGGACATAAAGGCACGCTTAAGGCCAGCCTGCACTTTGGGTTCTGTCCCCTTTGGTGTGGGAGAAATTGCTGGACGTTTGCAATTTGTGAGTTGGCCTGGTTGAGATTTTTGGTCATCAGCGAATTGGAACGTTTGGACTGTACGTTTGGACTGTAAGAAGAGAAGACAAGTGCAGGGCCCAGCTGGTGGTTTATTGATAGGCTATAAAGGCATGGTGAAGCTGAGCCTGAGCTTTGGGTTCTGTCCCCTTTGGTGTGGGAGAAATCGCCGGAGGTTCGCAATTTTTGAGACGGCCTGAGTGTGATTTTTTTTTGTCATCAGCAAATTGGAAAGTTTGGACATTAACAGGAGATGAGAAGCACAGGGGCCAGGTGTTGGTGGTTTGTGGGTAGGGTATAAAAGGATGCTGAAGCCCAGCTGGAGCATTTTGTTCTGTCCCTTTTGTTGTATTGGGTGACCCTGCATAGCTCTGTGCTTTCTGTTGGTATGTAGAAAGGGCCTGGTCACACCCCAACGTTTTGGCTACTGCTGAGCAGTGCTCGAACAGCCTCAAGGCTGTGCCTCCAATATTTCCCCCCCACCAGTGGGCTGGAAGGGGTCACAATCTTGGGAGGGGACGTAGCCAAGAGATCTGACCCATACGAACCAAAGGGACATTCCATACCACGTGATGTCAGCTAAGATATAAAGCTAAGGGAAAAGGAAGAGGAGGGGG